TCTAGCTACAGCCCTGCATGGTTCCAAAAATAATTTTCTGGAACCATTCAAAGAACTATAGACCGCTCCATCATTTTTGACGTTATTTTGTCATTCGACCATGCATTTTGTAGAGAAGTGTTTCCTCTTCAAGCTCATATATTTAGAAATACAAAGTAATCCTTGATATGAAATTTTTTTCTCTTAAAATAAAACGGTTCCAAATTCCGAACCGTTCGGAACCGTTTTATTTTAAGAAAAAGAAATTTCACATGGAGGATTATTTTGTGTTTCTAAATATATGAGCTTGGAGAGGAAACATTTCTCTATAAAATGTATGGTCGAATGATATAATAATGTCAAAAATGATGAAACGGTGTGTATTTCTTTGAACGGTTCCAGAAAATTATTTTCAGAACCGTGCAGGGCTCTAGACTGCACTCGAAAATATCATTAACTCTGACACATGAACTTCAACAACAATCACTTGACGTAAGCAAGCAGAAAGACAACATACAAAAAAATGACGGTTGTTTCTCGGAAAATTTTTGATGAACTGGACTGAATTGTATCGAGATTTGACTTTATTCAAAATTCTCTTGAGGAAATCTGTCAAGAGGTTTCAAACGATATGAAGTTTGCTAAATAAGTTTCAAATTTGTTTTTCACTTATTTGCTGTCATAATAGCATATAATATCACTCGTGTTTCTTTAATAAGTTTTAGTAAACGAAATAAAATTTGATAAATATTAATGTAAAAGGTTTTTATTTTATGTCAGGCAAAACCCAACTCATCATTTTCACGTTGTATCGCATTGAAACTTCAACTTGTTCGATGACTAAAATGAGCTCTGATGAAACATCGAAGTCATCCTCAGGACTTCCATGAAATATAATATGTTTAATACTTGTTACTGATATAGCGATCAAATCGATGAATATCTATTTCATCTTAAATGCTATATACTTCTAGAGAAAATACACTTATCGGTTCGAGTTCATGGTCCTAGTAGAGTTCAATGAACAAGGAAAGGGAATACAAAGTTCATCACTCTTCGAATATGGAATAGAAAAAAATATATATATTTCTTTTAGATAGTTTTCGTTACAATTTCGCTGAAGGCTGACATACATTGATATCATCATGTGACCAAGAATTCAGGCTGAATCACAAGGCGATGACTACAAATTATACAGTTGTAAAGACTGTGAAAAACAGATTCTATACAGACCACATGTGTAATGATGATGATAACGATGTACAGCTATCATATGGCAATCTGTATCTTAAAGAAGTATTTATTCTATTCAAAAGAAAAGAAGGACTTTGAGGGCTCATCGTTACTATATTCATGCCGTATCAACTAAGTTAGAACATTTGATGTCGTGCCACTTTCATGAAAATTATATCATTCAAAAGAGCATTAAAAACTGAGTATTACATACAAATTTTCAAAAATGGATACACTATAATCTCCAACAGGTTCGTTTTTAAATACATTTCCAAGCAAGAATTGCTTTTGTCTATATTTTCTTACTAATCATCTTTTCTCCTGTCGTTTTCTTTCTCTTTCTGCACATACATAAGCGTTCACGTATCTCATTGTTCATCTACTATCTGAATATGTATTTATATTTATGAAAAAAATGATTATAACCATGAAAATTTCAAGATTGTGAAGTTGTTCATAAAAACTGTTAATAAATACTAAGATAAACACGATTGAAATAAATTACGAGAGGATTAGACTATTAAAGTGGCATAAGAATACAAATCGTAACTCGAGATTCAAATATTGAACATCATATTTTAGTTGTCGAGAAATATATCATGTAACCATTCTTATTCACCAAGTTTTGATCCAATAGGAAGTCGCTTCTCTGATTCTTATTCTATAACTAATGAAAATCAATTTAAAAAAAGTTATTCAAACAATTTTTTTTGGGGAATTAATAATTTATGTTTTTCCTTCGTGAAACTTGAGTTTTTTCGTTCATTGGGAGTATCATTTTAAATTTTGTACTTGCAGATGATTCAGTGAGCAAATGGGCAAAAGATAATTTTCGAAATTCGCATCGTCCAAAATATGTTATCCTTATGAAACCTACAAGAACGGGTACGATAAATAACACGAGAAAACATGATCATCAGATCTTAGCACTATTACAAATTGTTATTCACTTTATGATTTAGGTAAAACATCATTTGCACCTTCGTTGTCTACTTGTGTATGTTATTTCAAAGGTCCTTCGAGCTTGAATTCTTGAAATGACCATGCTCGATATATTGTATTTAACGACATATAATTGGATCAATTCGAAAAACCGTACCATTTTGAATAAAAAAGATTTACTCTTAGCTAATAATCCAGTTTCTGTAACATTGTTTTATACACGTGAAGACACAAAGTATGAAAGAATGATATTTTTTTGATTGATTTCATGTTAGTGATAAATATCAGCCAACTGTGACTACCAATATCATGATGCTGCCGATCATTTTCTTGATTCTGGTACTCAAAGTTGTTTAACAGCACTACCTGCAACTATCAAAAGAAAAACAAAAAGTAGACTACTGGATTTGACGGGGTGTGGGTGTGGGTTGTGGGTGTGTGCGGCTGTGGCTGGGTGGCGGTGTGGGTGTGGATGTGGCTGTGGGCGTGTGAGTGTGAGTGTGGGTAGGCGTTGGTTTTTAATTTAAATCACACCCACACCCACCCTATGACGCGACACGGGTTCAAGTCCTGTGCAAGGCATGTCATTTTTTTCTTTCTGTGTTATCTTTTTTCCATTGAATTTTGGAAATTTTTTTTTCGCTTATTTTCAGAGGTACCCTCTCGAGGTCTTGATGGTGAAGTAGGTTATCGATCATGCTGGTTCCGAATCTGCAATTTGTTTTTACCGAAAACATTTTCTTCAAAACCTCTCCTGGGTGCTATGCTCAAAAGAATCTGGGTGTGGGTGGGTGGATGCATCAGTCCAAAACATGCACATCCACATCCACATCTAAAGCAGCACAAACATCTACATTCACACCCACATCCATTATTTATCTCTACGAATCGTGATGTGTCTTTTCCAATATACATAGAAAAAAAGCAAAAGGTTTGAGGGATAAAAGAGTGGCATGAACGATTAGGATGTGGTTGATATGTTTTTTTTTCTTTCTAATCGCATTATTCAAAATAATTCATGCATAGCAATGTAAGAAAATGAATCAAAGAAAAATGTGTGATTCTAAAAGAAAACCATATATTAATTTTTAATATTATGATTGATATTTATATTTTAAGTATTTTTTCAAATCAATTTTTGTCTTGACTAACTTCATAGGAACTTTGTATACTTATTATCAATGACATAGCAAAATGTTTTTTTCTTTGACGAACAACAAATCACTTGACTGTAAACACTTCTGCTAGTTACGTTTCTCATCAAGGTAGAACAAATTGATATACAAATCATTTTCTTTATTTCGCCTAGGAACTTGAATAGACGCAAAAGAATATCATAAGTTAATGGAAGCAAAAAAAAATAAAAGAAAATCAGTGGAGTAGACAGAACGAAAAATCTTATATTTGTCTATCGCCTCGTTGATCCTGTTCGTAAGACTCATTATACATTTTTTTTTCAGTGTATATATACCACTTGTATATGCATCATTTTCTTCATCTAGTATTCTGATTGTTAGTTTTATACACGGTATTATTCATTGAAGTATTACTATTTACATAAATTTCCAAGTGACATTTACAAACATCTTATATTTCATATATTTACATATAGAATAGAATGGCGTTGATATTATTTTTATTTAAAGTTTCTAATATTGATATTTCCAATTCTAAATTGGAAATTATTGGTAAAAATGATGATCAATCAACATCTGATATACCAACAACACAATTTATTAATGATGAAAATATGACGTTAGTGAGTGCTAAAGTCATATTTCGAGGTATCTATTAATAACATATAAATACTGAAAAAGAGAAGATAATAAATCAATATAAAAAGAATGACAAATGAAAACTAACAATGTACTCTTTTACTTTTACTTGAAAAAAATGATTTATTTACATGGACAGCATGACAGCACTATAACATGTAGTAATTGTTCTCCTAAAAAAAATTGACCTTGCAGCATCCAGATCCATTCACTACCTTGATTACATAACATCAAAAGTAATGTTTTTTTTATTTCCAAATTATTCATTTTCTAGTTTGTCTTTCTTTTCAAATCATTTTTTAATGAACTTAAGAATCCATTGTCAAATGAATAATAACCCATGTAATAAATACTGAGAAACTATTGCAGATATACCGATTGGTATAACGTGCGTGATATACTAATAGCACTAGTTATGACATAAATTCTTATTAGTAAAATACATTGTGAAACTTTTTTATGCTCAGTTAATTTGAATTCTTTCCAATGAATTATTCGAATTTGGATAAAAAATCCTTTCTGAAATCGTTTACGGCTGGAGCTAAAAATCGTAAGTACTACTGCTGATTCTGATGAGTACCACAGTATACCGAGGTTAATGCGAACAAACGTGTAACATGCAAATGCTGATTTTTAAATAGTGTAGGGAGTGTCGCATAAGCTTTTTTTCTTTTTGTCCTTGATTTAATATGCATTGACCTAGTCATTATCGATTCCTATTTACTTTATTCGCTTCCAAATATATTTCGAATGTTTTGTACGAAAAGAACGAATAATTGATGTATAATTGCTTGATCTATTATGGTGCTCATTTATAGTATTGCATATTTTGTAAATAACTATGTTGAAATCTCTCGTAGATATTTCATACTTACAAAGCAAATTTTTATTGATTTTCTTAAATTAAATTTAAATACTTTTGAATATACTAAATATAAATGAGAATGAATGAAAATAAATTCTCTAAAAAGCAAGTCGATAGAAGTTAAACATAATTATCATATATAAAACAAAAATATGATATCTTACTATGAATAATAATGTTTTTTTTGTGCTTGATATAAATTTTGAATGATTACAATTGAATTACAATTTTCTATTAAAGGTGTTAATCTTTGGTCAAATAATGTACGCCTACGTGCTGGTACAGCAAATTTTATTGCACGTGGAAACAAACCAAAGAAATTTTATTTCAATTTAGCAACTATGTTAGTACCCGATGATAAATTACGCATCGAATTTTATACGATAAATGGGAAAAAGAAACGAAAAAAATTGATTGCAATTTTTGAATTAATGCTTGAATCTTTAATCGATTCAAAATATATTGATTTACCTGAAGAAAATTTATCTGATCCAAATAATTGCTTATTATCATCAACTGTACAACTTAAACTTTATTATACACCACCAGATATTGATAAACAACTTGCTGTAATTGGAAATGATGATACTGCTGAATTGATCGATTGGAGAAGTATATTTGATGATGAAGGACGACATGGTGGTCATCGATATAGATATGTTTATTCAAAACATAATGATCTATTGTAACTATTTAAATTAATATCAATCAATCCACATTTTCTATTTGATTCTATTATAGAACAAAATTTCGTACGAAATTAGTTGATCATGCAGATGATGCTGATACTGATACATGTAGTGATTCAGATTTTGAAGTAGCTCAAGCTTCTGAAAGAAAATTTGGATCTGTTGATAAAAATGCAAAAATAAAAATGCAAAATAATGATATAGAATTATTAGAAAAAAGGTAAGCAAAAAAAAAGATTTGATTTTTATTATAAAAATTTTTTTCTATGATTCAAATTAAATATTAGTTTGGGTCGATATGTCGGTGATGTATATGAAATGATCGAATGGCAACTTATGGTACATATTATACAAGCACGAGATCTTCCAGGACTTAATATTAGTCCATATGTTAGTGTTCAAATCGATAATCAAAAACGATATACAAGTGTGCAAAAATCTTGTAATTCACCATATTTTGGTGAAGTAAGATATTCAAAAAAAGAAGAAAAATCAATATTAAAATATATTTATTGTGTAGTTCTTCACATTTGATTTTACACTACCAGCTACCAAATTTATGGAAAAAGTTATTATTATCAAAGTAAATTGTTTCATTTTATCATGATTAATTTATTATGCCTACCATTTAAGTAGCCAGTAAAATAGATGAAATGATCAGTAAAAAAAATGTAAATCATCAATATAAATATTAAATGGTCAATAGTAACAAGTAACGCTAATCGACAGTCGATTAGCTTAACCCTAGACTGACTTAGTTGTCTAAAAACAGATGTGCATCTGCGTCCGCCTGTCTCTGTAATCTAGTAACCACATGTTAACTACGGTTCAGATGATCACAAATAGGGTCTGAAGAACCATAGGACTGTTTCGAAACGAGCAATAAACTGCAAAAATTTCTCAAAAAACACAGGAACAGTGGTCACAAGAATGGTACATGTGACGACAAATACAGAAAACATCATCATATTCATAGTGTTTTGAACACTTTGTGTGGTCAGTCAGGTAACATCTTTGACTGCGAAGACCATTATTGTGACGGTTTTCAACACATTTTTGCACTTTTGAGGCATATCTTTGATAAATCAAGGATCAAGTGTGTCGCATTTGCGAATATTCCGAATGCCTTTAAGGGATTTTCGATTATATCTTTCGTCACGCAGGCCGTAGTTACTGTCATTTCTTTCATATTTATTCTAATTTCAACCGAATTATCCGCCATATTTAGCATTATCTCACTCATGCCATCTCTATAGTCACTGACCATAGAGACAGCACGAATGCACGATACTATGGTGTAAATCATCAAGAAAGTAATTCTAATGACCAAAATAATAGTGCGAATAACCACGACTATGGTTAGTCATAGTATGGATGTCATCATTAGTACTGTAACAATGGCCATTTGCGTCATTGGGAGAGCCATTCGTACCACCAATACGGTCATTTGACGCATCAATGCGGTCATCTGTACCAAAGATGTGGTAATTTGTGCCACGATTTTGGTCCCTTGTACCAAGGCTGTGGTCATTTGTACCATCAATATGGTCATATGTACCAAAGCTGTGGCCATTTGCCCCATCAGAACGGTCATTTGCACCATGAAAATGGTATCTTGTACCATGAGAAATGGTCATTTCTACCACGAGTATGATCACTTGTACCATGCAAATGGTCATTTGTACCATGCAAATGGTCACTTGTACCACGACTATGGTACTTTGTACCAAGTGTTACAGACAGACCGACAGACAGACACAGGTGAATTTCGGTTTCTAGACCCTATCCTTTCAGTCTAGGTAAAATTATCAGTAATTAATTGTAAAATGGTTTTAATAAAGCAGATTTAACCTTTACTGCTACTACCCAGTCAGACAAGCAACGAAAAATAACGCGTAAAAGAGCGTAAAAACCGCACATTTTTACGATTTTTATTTCGTTAGAAATTTAACGCGTTTTCTTGCTGAAATAAGTGACCTTTTAGGGGACTGACAGCTATAATCCGTAGCCTTAGCTTGCTTGATGATTTATAAGCAACCTAAGTCTACGGATTATAGCTGCCATTCCTCTAACAGGTCACTTATTTCAGCAAAAAAACGCGTAAAAACGCGTTAAATTGCTAACGAAATAAAAATCGTCAAAATATGCGGTTTTTACGCTTTTTTACGCGTTATTTTTCGTTGCTTGTCTGACTGGGTAGTGATTTACAATATTTCAAATGAATAGCCATACACACAACATGTTGGCATATATAATTCTTAAAAACAAAAAGCTAGCCAGTTGTATTTCGATGTTTTCCAATGTAAATTATTTATTAGTTGCCTATAAAGCGTTGTTTGTACTTAGTGCATACAGTTGTATATTTTTATAGCAATCATCATTTGATTTGAATCATCCATTATCAAATGCATTTTGTTTGTAACTCAACATTGTGACTACCGTTTTTTTCAGGTTTCTTTTATTCATATATATTTCATGATCTTCTTCTATCACCTCTTCAAACTGATATATCGCTTTCATATTGAGAAATTCATATCACTTTCATAGTCACAAATATCTCAAATTTTGTAAACGCGAAATATGCTATTTATATTTTAAAATCACTAAATAATTAAATCTGGGGATAGATAAAGACAACGATCAGGGAAGAAGTCGAGAAACTTCTTTTCCTTTATTTTAGATAATGAGCAATAAGACGAATTAAAACAATAATTCTTCTTATTCACAAAAGATGTAGGTCAAAATAACGAGAATATATTTAGAACAACTGAGGAAAAAGAAAAATAAGAACAAAAGTAATACACTCTATAAACCATTTCAACTTTTATGTTGATCCTGATCTTTTAATATTATCGGCTATTAATAAATTATATTTACTGATTTCGGAATTTATCTATAAATCTAATTAAATAATAACTAATCGTTTAAGTAATTTACTGATCAAACATTAAATTGACTGATTTTATAATTATTTCATTTATTTCACTAATCATAAATCATACCCTTATTCATTATTGTTATTTGTAAAGGTTCATGATGCCGTTAGAATAATTAGTACATTTACAGATACAGCACCGATTGGAATTTTTCGACTGGATATATCAACAGTATATAATGAAAAAGAACATGCATTTGAACGAAAATGGGCTCAATTGGTTAATCCGGAAAATATTACATCACCTTGTGGTCATTTACTTCTTTCAATATCTGTTACACAACGTGGTGGTCCCACGAAAGTATAACCTTTTTATTTGATCATACATTTTTCTTTGTCTATTTGTTTGTTTTATTCTTTTTAAAGAATGTTGTCAGTGAAGAAGTACATGACAATGATGAATTTAAACCATCGTAAATATAAAGGACCCTATCGGATTAGATGACCTATTTTGAATTGAGAAAACAAATATATCCTATGCTGAGGCATGTCGAATAGCATATAGTAAATCTTATTTTCGTAAGAATTTCAAGGAACTGGAGTCAATTAATTGATAGAGGACGATCATTGTGATTCTTAATATCAGTCAAAAGTATTTGTAAAGAAATTTTTCTTATAAACAATTTTGTAGAGCTTTTCATGAGTCACAAGATAATATACTTAACATCTCTGGATCAATCTATCTTTGATAGATAAAAATGCGATTTTTCAATGATATATCACCATTTTTTTACTAATGGTGAATCTTCGTGTCTTCAATAACGTCGACTATAAAAGATGTAACTAAACACCAAATTTTCTCAGTAATTACCTGTAATGTAGTACTAAAAAACATATCATTTTGAAGTTCTCTAAAATGAGTGCATGTTGTCCAAAATGGCCTTGCATTAAGAAACCTTAACCAATTTTTACATCAATTTTTCTCTTTTAATGCCGTATTTTGACTGTTGAAAGCCAAACTCTATTACGAAATAAACATGATATTCGGAATCAGCATAACAAATTGCATTGTATAGTTGCTTGTATTTTAACTAAATATTTTTTCACAAAAATTCGACATGCACTCCTCGTGAGCCGTTTTTCCTGAATTTCGCCCTGTAGCAAACACTTCACGGATCAAAGGTCGATGGAAAAATATTTAGTTAAGATACAAATAGTTATTCAATGCAATTTGTTATGCTGATTCCGAATATCATGTTTATTTCGTAATAGAGTTTGACTTTCAACAGTCAAAATATGGTAGTAAACGAGAAAAATTGATGTAAAAATTAGTTAAGATTTCTCAGTGCAAGACTATTTTGGACATCATGCACTCATTTTAGAGAACTTCGAAATGGTATGTTTTGTACTACTACATCGTGGGTAACTACTGAGAAAATTTGGTGTCTGGTCACATTTTTTTCTAGTCAACACTATTGAAGACATGGAGACTCACCATTAGTGTAAAACGATGATAAATCATTGAACAATTGCATTTTTACCTATCAAAGATAGGATGATCGGAGACTGATACCAAGGTTTACAATGATCAATAACTGATCAATCTTTGTATGCATAGTTGTCTATCAGTAAATTGATTCTAGTTCCTTCAAAATCTTATGAAAATAAGTTTAACTATATACCATTCGATGTACTTTGACTTGCTTTACAACATGATATATTTTGTTTCACAATTCTGCATAGGTCATCTACTCCGAAAGAATTGTTTCTTTTTTATGTTTATTTTCTTGAATAAATTTTATTTAGAAAAACTTTAATTCCTGTAGCTATGCATCGACGTCTATTTCCTATGCAATTAAAAATAACTTTTTTTACTGCAACTGAATTACCTGAAATGATGACTGATTTTTTAGCAACTGTTTCAAAAAAAATTCTTCAATCAGACACATGGGAACCAGTTGATCCTTATGTTGAAGTTACGTATGATGCAATGACAGCAACAACAGAAGCTTGTAATGGTACAACACCTGTTTGGNCCTGTAGCTATGCATCGACGTCTATTTCCTATGCAATTAAAAATAACTTTTTTTACTGCAACTGAATTACCTGAAATGATGACTGATTTTTTAGCAACTGTTTCAAAAAAAATTCTTCAATCAGACACATGGGAACCAGTTGATCCGTATGTTGAAGTTACGTATGATGCAATGACAGCAACAACAGAAGCTTGTAATGGTACAACACCTGTTTGGGGTGAAGCTCTTTATTTAATTGGACGTTTTCCACCACTTGTACGAACAATTAAAATAGCACTTAAAGATCATGCAGCTGTTCAAAAAGATCGTATTATTTCATCATTTTTTATTGATCTTTTTTTAATAAGTGAAAGTAATCCATCAGTTGGTTTTTTACCAACATTAGGTCCAACATGGATATTTTTATATGGAAGTCCAAGAGAATATACAATAAATAAAGATAAAGATGGTCTTAGTGAAGGAATGGGTGAAGCTGTTTGTTATAAAGGACGAATACTTATGGCTATTGAATCTCATCCAATTATTGCAGAAAATACACCAAACATGAATATACAAAAAAAAACTGATATACAATTTCCTGAAGCAGTAAGTATTATTAAAATATTTTCTAATATTATTACATTCATATAATTTAAATTCATAGCATATATTTCCAATGAAACGTTCATTTCTCTTATTTGGTTGTATTTATGATGTCAGTATGATTAATAAATCATTTAGTAATGGAAAAATTTCTTTTGAATTAAGTATTGGTTCAAATGGATATTTAAATCCACGACAATTAGTTGCTGCAAATCATAAACCTGTTTCATCATTAACATGTACTTATCGATGTATTTCAATTGATAATAATAGAGATTATTTTCGTTTACCAATTGATTTACAAAAACCAATATTATTTACAAAATATATATTTCATGATTATATCTATCGTATGACATTATCAAATCGTCTAAAAAACGCATCTGCATATTTGGTATTGATTTTCATAAGTTTATTTAAGAAATTTTTTGTTTTATTTTCTTTTGTTCTAATGTGTAGTATGAACAAATTCGTGAATTTGAATTGAAAATTAATTCTAAAATGTCAAATGAAATTCTCATAGAAGAATATCGAAAAATTCAATATTATGTTCATACCTTACCGTGTGGATGTGCTGAACAGATAAAAGATCGTGAAATTTTGGGTACTACACCTGTAGTTCATTCGAATTTATATGAATTATTAAATTCTTCTCAACCAACTCTTAAAATGAATCAATTAGATAGTAAACGATGTAAACAAATTCTTAATAATATTCAATCAATTAAAACTTGGATTTCAAAAGAAATTGTTTTTGATGTATCAAAACAATATAAAATCATTCAAGAATTGAATAAAATAGCTCATGCATTTCGACAAATGGCTACTGATGTAAATATAATATGCACAAAAAAAGAAAAGGATAAAATTATTTTTCATTTTTTTTTTGAAAGGCACAGCCGTCTTTACCTGATATATTTTTTTGGATGATATGTGACTCGAAACGTGTAGCTTATGCACGTTTTCAACCTGAAGATATTCTTTTTAATTTATGTAAAGGTGAAAAAGGTTTAAATAATGGTCGTGTACAAACTATTTTTCTCAAAGTTTGTTATCATTTTTATTTCTTTGTTCTGACAAAAAAAGGAAAAATATAATTATAATTTATTTTTAGACACCACGTTCAACAGATAAACCATTAGATCCATTAATAAATGCGAAAGTACAAATCTATCTTTGGCTTGGAATTGAAGAACATGAATCATTGATGTTTAAACATTTACCTGCTGGTTTTGATATGCCACCATTACCATTACATCCTCAATTGAAATTTGTAACATATCACGGTTAGAAATCAATAGAAGATTGAAAAAAAAACGATAAATAAATACAATAAAATATCCCGTAGTGGACATTTCATAATCCGACTAACAAGGAAGCCTCCTCAGATGTGTCGCATTACAATTTCAGTGATTTTTTGCCTATAGATATTACGTAGTGTTCCATGAAAAAATTTAAAAGAATTTGGGTTTCTATGGAGATTTGACTGAAATATCGAGTTTTTAATGTCCATTTTCTAGCACCTGAGGTTTCTCGAAAACTCGAATTTTACTCTGAAACTTTTTGAAAGCTTCTTATCTCAAAGAGACTTTGTTCAAAAGTTTTGAATTTTTTTATAGAAGCTAGCCTAGTTGATTTCTCTGGGAAAGGGATAATTCGCACCACTTTTTCATTACGATCTCCTGTAGCAGATGTTCGTTACGATTTCCAGACATAAGAAAAAAGACAGGGTGTTCGAAATCAAGTGTACGAGAGTTCTGAATGACAAAAAACAATAAAAAATTGAAAAACCAGGGTGTTCGTAATGAAAATTGTTCAGAAGATCGTAACGAACATCGACAGTTGCTTATTAGAGATAAAATCATAAAATTTGACTGGAATCCAGAATGAAGATTACCGGGAGATCGTAATGAAACTTAGGGCAAATAAGTGTAGCGAATGTCTGGAGATCGTAATGAAAAAGACAGGGTGTTCGAAACTGTCGTTCATATTTGCTTTTCTTTGAGAAATGTTAAGTGATTTATCAGTTTTTCATATATTCTTGATTATAAACAAGAAAAAGACTTTATAACCGTTACAAACATCAGAATATATCTGTTACGATCTCTCGGTAAATTGGTTACGAACACCCCGTCAGTTTTATTACGATCTTCTGGTCTTTTGTCAATGAAAAATATCCTTCGAGTTACATTCCGAACACCCGGTCTTTTTCATTCCGATCTCCAGACATTACGTTGCACATAGTGCTGAGCATTCCGTTTCGAATTCCCGGTGACACCTTTCCGATCTTTCTGTTTTTTCATTACGATTTTCTGTCCAAAATTGATTACGGACTCTCGTCAAAATTTTTTTTGAGACAAAAACTCATTTCCGAACATCTGGACGCATGTTAGGAGTTCAGAGTGATGTGATGCGAAATGTCCATCACCCGATTTCTCTATATGCAAAAAATTCCAGAGTAAAATTTAACAAAAAAAAAAAAGTTTTTCGAAAAACTGGGATTTCTAGAAAATAGACATTAAAAACTCGATACCTCAGCCAAGTCTCAATAGCAAATGAAATCATTTTAGACCTTTTATTAGAAAACTATGTAGCATCTCTTTAAACAAAAACTTATTGAAATCGGAAGTGGACATCTGAGGAAGTTCTCTCGTAAGTGATTTTTGCTGGAAGCAAACTTAGGCATCGATGGAACCATTTTTTTAGTCCCATTTTAGGACCCGTTAAAATTTTTTCGTGATCTCGGTTCCGTTAAAATTAAAAATTGGTCCCGATTATGGCTCCAACGGGACCGGAACTACTTTGTAGTTTCCTAAACGAAACTCTGCATAGTGCATATCTCTTTCTAATGGACATCGTCATATAGTACTATGGTGAATATTTTGAAAAGTCCCAATAGTGTCCATGACATGAATGTTTTACTATATTTTACCAATTGTTAATTTTCTGAGGACAAAAATACATGAAAAGACAGTAAAAATAAGCAACCATTAATTTTTTATTCAGTAACACTCTCTAGATATCTAAAAAACGCTTCTGTTCTTTGTTAAAAAAACACCTGCTTTGAGAAAAGACCTAACCTCCTTCTAATAGATACTCTCCGGACTTCTTTTCAAAAGTATCCACTTTAGAGAGGCTATAATGTATATTTTTTTTAGAACGAACTTTTTATGAATTACGATGTCATTGTTATAAAGCAAGAGCATTAAATGCTGCGGATGCAACAGGTTTATCAGATCCTTATTTAAGTATTACAGTTGGTAATGAAACACAAACAGCACCAGTAACTCATCTTGTGTTCGTAATTTCTTTTGTTAATTTCTTTTTCTTTTTTTGCATAGATTCTCTTTGAATCATTATGTCCACAATGGAATGTAACATTAGCTTTTCAAAATTTGATGCATGTTGGAACTCGAGAAACAGCTGAAGAAATTATTGGAAATGTTGCTGTCGAATGTTATGATTATGATAAAGTACGTAGACAGTTTAAAAGTGAAAAAGCATGTCAATAGCACGATAATATCAGTGTGGAAATTAAGACTGATCAAATCATAACTTTTGAGTTACAACTAATTAACTTTTCGGTTCAAAAAGTTAATTGATTTATAAGCATTAACCGTAATTATAACTTTCAACGATTAACTTTTTGAATTTTTTAGAAGATTTAATTGCATTGAAATAATAATTATTTTGATTTAATTGATATGTTTGATAAAATAGATTAAAACATATATGTATTTCAGTATTCTTGAATTTAAGAACTTAATATTTATAGATTATTCTTTGAGAGCTTTTTTTTCATGTATTCGTCTAAAGGTCTCATTTGCTCATATTTATATGTTGAGTATGAATACATGCATGATACAATATATTTTTCGATGTATTACCGACAATAATCTTTTTAAAATGTGTGCGGTTGAGAATAGTATTTAAAAACTGAAACTACTGTACTCTATTTCTTATTCTCTAAAATAGTAATCATTTTCAATATATGTTGTGAGCAAATTTAGATAATACTCCTTATTAGTATAATCACGTATATTTTATTTCAACATGAAATAACTATATCAAATTATTCTCAGTTCATTCATATATGTCAATCGGTACCATTAGTAATACATGGATTGTTCTGTTTAAAAATTGCGGAAAAACATTGATTTCAATTGATTTTTCTTCGTAATAAATAAAAAAAAATCTTTAACCAATTTACTTTCGATTACACTAGTTATAATCAATTTTTTTTTCATTAAATTTTAATCGATATTATTCAGATTAATCAATGAAATTTTGTTTCTTCGGTTCATTTCCATAATAATCGGTTACAATATGATTAAAAAATCTGTTAAAAGTATATGGTTATTAATCTAATTTTTATCCTAATTTTTTTTACATGGGAAGTCTTGAGTAACGTTGAAAATTATATTGACTAGTGACTATCACCACACTATTTCTAAGTAAGATCCAAGATTATAACAATTTCAACATTCGATCGATTTACTCTATTGTGAAATTTTTTTTGTTATATACTCTTAATTGAAAACCGTGTATGCTTGATAAATATACGTTCAATAAAAATTATTGCAATTTCCACGTTTCGTTCGTTCGTTGTTAATGCAAAAAACTCTTAATATTGCATTGTATCATTTCATTCATAGACGACGGATGACTACAAGAAAATGTAACTTATAGATGAATACATGAAATAACATTCAGAGAATAATTTATAAATACTAAATTTTTTGAAGTAAAGAACAATGAAATACATATCTGTTTTAATTTATTTTATCAAATATATCAATTAAATCAAAATAATTACTATTTCAACACAATTAAATCTTCTCACAAATTCAAAAAATTAATTGAGTTAGAATAATTAATAGTTATAACTACGGTTGATAGCTATAACCCAAGTTATAATCATTTTAACTCCCACACTGAATAATATGCTCGATATGCGTTCTTATTTTTATTTATTAAATATTAGCATTCCAAGTTGACATTTATTTTTTTAGTCACATTCCTCTGTAACGTCATAAGCTTACTAAAAAAATGTTAGTGTTCATATTTGAATTTATGTCCAACTTCGGATTGGCCTAAGCCAATATAAAATTCGTTTGAATATGAGCTATATAATCTGAGATTGTTCGAAACAGATTATGGACACTATCATAAATATTCATATGACAACTAATTATTTATATTTTTTTTTTTATAATGTTAATGTCATTCGATGATCAGTCTTCTATAATCTAAGCTTATGAAATGCTACTATAAATTTCGACATTATGATTATAATATAGATAGATGAATTTTCTGAACTAGAAATGCGGAGTGTCGCTGTCAAAACTGAAAATATTGAGACTGCCGCTACAGATATTTAACTCCACTTGATACGAGGCAGTAAAACTGATATTGGTGTTCACAAAACTTCGACGAACTATTGACTCATTGCCATAGTTTGGCAGTGACACATGGAGGCATTGACTCTGTCAAAGTATTTTCTTTTTTGTATTTTTTGTTTTAATCAATCACATAAAGTATGGAAGTAAATTCTTTATATAATTGAAACAAAAAAAACAAAATGATAAACATCTGAATAATCTATGGTTATGAACGATGTTTCGAATTTTTCTGTCGGTGACTCGTAGTCAGTAAACGTCGGTTTTAGTGTACCAACGATGAATGAATTAACACTATCAAATCCATATTCTCAATTGGGGTTATCTTTAGACTCAGTTATTATGTTTGTAAACTGAAATCGTCAATGAAAAATCACTTGTAACTAGAAAAATAATTTCTTATACTATTTTCATTATGTCAATTATCGAAATGTTTTAACAAAGTATACAAAGATCTTTAAACATGATCGTTTGCAACATATTTATTTCGAAAAATCTTAAGGTTTTGTGCCTCTTCTGTAGTATTCTCCTTTCTTTTCGACTTGATTTCGCAGAGAAATGTCAAGAAAAAAGAACAAAACTCAAGGTTTATAGTTCAAATGAATAGAGCTATAAGTCAAGGCATGGATTACAGATGAAAAATCCCTGAGATCACTTATGTAAGTGGCTGTTTCAATTTTTTTTTTCGTTGAAAAATTAGAAAAAGGAGATAGGAAGCATTCAGATTAAAAAGCAATCAAGTTAAGTTATCATATAATTTTAATCATAATTATCAAGAATCGTCGTATTTGAAGGGCACTTATTTACTAATGTTGAAGATAATATCGGTGAGAAAATATGCATCAAACTATTCCATTAGGTCAAAATTCACCATAGAATCGTTATTATATTTCCTCAACTCATTTCGATATGACATCCTATTAGTAAAACAAAATCGAATAATTCTTTAGCATTGTAGTTTTTCATAGATTTTTTTGCATTTTCTACTATTTATAGCATATAACAGACATAAGAAATAACACTACGAATATTTCGTAGAAGATAGACTAGATATACAGTTAATCAGTAGTGTAGATGTCTGAAGACCACATAATCAAAGCACAGAATTAATATAGAATTCGTAGTTCTATAAATTTTTCTGGTCACCAACACATGCAAAAAAGAGAAACATATGAAATTAAAAAGTAAAACGCACTATAATCATAAAACAATGTTTTTATACCATTACTGTAGTGATTAGGAGGAATATATGATTAATCCAGGAGATGATTTGATTGTTGTAGACTTGAAAAAAAAAAAGAAGAATGACTCATGCAGATATGGCGAACGGTCCGTTCTGGACTGAATGATACTGACACGGAAGAAATCGTATTGGTTCAAAATCTGGATTTACTCCTTTTCTATCAAGTTTTTTATAGTTTGTGTATTAAATTAACATTTTCAGTCTTGAAGAGATCGGTGTCAACTCAAAATAGTCGATTTTAACGTGTTACAGTATTTTATGTCAGATGACAGCAGATTTTTCCTATTCGTTAAGTCTTCTAGCTAATGACTATTTTTGTAGTGCCATCTCTAATGAATAATCTAAAAGAAGAAGAATACCTCGCCTGTCGGCTATCTTGTGGTATATGGTACTGTTCAGAAACAGTTTCGAGAGCCCTATATTTTTTCTACAACTATCACTAGCTGCAGCTCTGGATAGAAGGCTAGCCGGATTCAGAGTTTTTTCGCTCAATTACTTGGGTTTTCTGCACATACTGACTAACGGTATACTAACTAGAACGGCTGATGTATGTCATCACGTCGTTAATATGCTATTGTATGTATTAACAAAGGCAAACAGACGTTAGCAACTCATTCAAGATCATTCTATGTCTGATAATGCCGAAGTACGAACACAGTACCTTAATGTAGTACGTATCAAACAGCTTAACCACTCAACCATAGCGGTTTTAATGGATAATCAAACTCGAAAGCTAAGTAGAAGCAGCTGATGCGACTGGTACAG